GTGTCACCTCACAGCTCGGAGACCAGAAGCCGAGACGAAGGTGTCGGCTCATGCAAACAATAGGCAGCCGGGCCGGGAAGAGATGGTCTTCAGGAGCATCCTCCAGCAGGCAAGGGCTTGGAGCTGCAGCGGATAAATACCCTGAGGTGGGAGAGATGGCACGGAAGGTCTGCAGCCTTAGATGAGGATTCTTGTGAACTCAGAACCGAGTAGAGGATGCGTCATTGGGGTACTTTGCTCTCCTGCAGAAGTTCTGAAACTATTAAGCATCAGAATGATCAGAACAATCTAAAGATGTAAAATGCCGCTTCCCAGGCCTGCTCTCAGGTTCTGCTTCACAGGGTGTGGCTTAGGGACGTGTACTTGTTTCCTAGGGTACTTTCCTGTGTAGCCAAGTACCTTCAGCTGGATAGCTTAGAACAACAAACACGTATATCCTCACAGTTCTGGAGGCCAACAGTACAAAGTCGAGATGTTGGCAGGGGTGGTTCCTTCTGCAGGGGAGAATCCGTTCCATGCCAGCTTGGTGTTGCCAGCAACCCTTGGTGTTCCTTAGCTTGTAGCCATGTCATTTCCCATATCAAACCCTGTCTTTCCATCAAACAGAATCTCCCTGCAAGGGTGTCGCAGCCACAGGACATCCTTGGAGGGAGTTGGGTAGGCTGCGGGGCTACATCACATCTGGAAATATAAGGCGTTGTCTTCGGGATTGAGGAAGGCTGCACCTCCTCCTAATCTTTGCTATCAAGTACCTTAGAGCCTCAAATCTTCTCTGCAAGTGACTTCCATCAAACACACCATTGTAGAGTGGCACCCACTGCTCCAGGCACTGCTGGAGGCACCGCGGATGAATCAGCAAGCTAGACAGGAGGTCCCTGCACTCACAGAACTTACTGTCTAGGTGGGTGAGACAAAATACAACATTCATTTGAAAAAATAAGGTAGTTTCCAGCAACCTTGAGTGTTGTGAAGAAAATTAGAATTTCAGGATGAAGAATGGAGGCAGTGCTGCTGCAGGGAAGGCCCCTCACTGGCTCTGATGACCCTTCAATCTCTGCGCCCTCTAGACCTCCCATCCCGGCCTGGTCCTCCTTTGGGTCCTCAAATGCCCACATCCCTTCCCACCTCCTGTGCATGCTGTCCACCCCAAAACACTCATCACCAGCTCTCAGCTTAACAAGCCTCTCTTAGAAGCGTCCTCTCCAAGATTCTTTAACAGAGCCCCTTGTCCCTTCACAGCTCTGACCACAGTGTCGAATCACATTTTCCAGTGCACGGAATTGTGTTTTGCTTGTGTATGCTCTATAAGGACAGAAGCCAAGACTCTTGCTTGCTAGCGTCCAGCAAACAAGAGCCTTGGGTCTACCACAGTGCTCGGCGCTGAATGCGTCCTCGGCAACAATCTGTTGGATTCATCAATCCATTAATTACTTTTTTTAAAGTACTGCATGCATGAACCAGCAACCCAATCAAAGAACAAACGAGCAAAAGAACCTTGAATAAAGCGTTTAATTTATTTCCCTGGGCTTCAGATTTTTAGAGATGAGGAACAAAATCATTTCTCCGCAGTGTTTATAAAGAATAAAAAGAGTGGTTGTAAAAACACGCTGTATGGTTGGCACATAAAAAACTACTCAACACACATATTTAAAAGCCTCAATTTGACAAACACTCATGGAATGCTTACTTTGTACAAACACAATTTTGAGACAGTTTAGAGGCAATGTTGGGAGCATCCACAAGGAGTGCTAAGCTTTTTCTAATCAAAGGAAACAGACGTACGCCCGGACCTCTTTTTTGTCTTATGTTCTTTGACTCTCTGGAAAATCTAAGCTTAGTCTTTTCAAAAAGCTGTTCGGTCAACAGAAGAAAAGATTGAAAGCACGCAGGCCTAAGCCGAATCCGTTACTACCTCTGTGGCCTTGGGCAAAACCAATAAACCTGACTGAACCTCAGCTTTCTGATCTAAAACGGGAGAGCTGTGAGAATCAAATAAGATCACAGGCGGGAGGTGTGTGGCTGTGGTCAGGCCAAGAGCAAGGCTGGAACTAAAACACGGTGGGCAGTCCATGCTCCTAGAAGCTTCCAGGACCAGCCAGTCCTGCCCGGTTCCTCCCTCCTCCTGGTCCACCTCCATGACAACCACAGTCAAGGAGCCTGATAAAAATCAAAGGACATATTCCTTCCTCAAATCCTCTCTGTAAGAGACAGCCTATGAATAAGCAATGTAAAAGATAAACCACCACGCACACGTAGGAAATGCTCTTTGTCAAAAATAACTCAGCAGGATAGAGCAAAGTTACGGCTCTGATGGGGTTTGAGACGAGGTGGCAATCAAGTCACCTAATGGCATATTTAGATTCCCAGCTCAGCTTCATGTTAGAGTTACAAACGGGACAACTGATTTGCCAGAGAGAAACGCTATTTTTAGTGGGGAATGCATCACAGATTTCCACGCATACTAAGCTCCTGCCACTCTGAGTGACATTTCTCTCTGGGAGCACCTAAGCAGGACTATACATCAAGATGGAAAGATTAAAAGTAATTGGCAATGCTATAACTGGGGAAAAGAAAAAGACTGGGTTCCTAAAACTAGTGTCCAACCACAACGCCTGAAATAGAATTGGAGTTCAATAAATATTGAATGTTGGGACAGGAGGGAGGATGGGAAGCTGGGGGAGAGGAATAAATTTAGCTCACAAGCTGAACCCTCTCAGTGCATGCTTGATAATCAATGCTAAACACTCTTCAGGCAAAACAAGACGAGCTCCCAAGAGAAGTGAATATAAAATTGCAGAGGTGCAAGAACAAAATCATTATAAACTTCAACATTCCTACTGTAGTCAGGCATCGGGGCTGCCAAACTGTAGCAGCTGCTTATAATTTCATTAAATGTAGGGACAAAGAAAGACCGGGCTTCCTACCCCCCATCGCTTTTTGAATAAAACACAAAGACAGGAGGATTAATAGTTTCCTATTTTAAAGTACTAATTACTTTGGCCCGAAGGTTATAGAGTACTACATACTTGCAAATTAAATATCCAGGTGCTGATTGCACGATCCAAATCATTTCACTCTACTTTTCATTTTCACGTTTTGTAAGAAAACGGACTTTTCGCTCTGAAACCATTTGATAATTAGCTGCTCACACTACTTAATACAGTAAGTGACATTTATGAACCTCTGCCAATAACTTCTCCTCCCATTGCCCGTCCATTTCTCCCTACTCCTCTCAGACAAGGTGGTAAATTTTAATTTGTATCCTTGGCATTCTGATTAGTGAAATAAGTGAAAATGAAGAATCGCATCTGAATGGCTGCACAAGGCTTAATTAACCAAGCCACACAACTCTGGCACCCAGAAATGGATTAACAAGGCCTGACTCTCCTCTTGGTGCAAGGTCAGCCCTGCACTTCCGAGGCTGCAGGCCTGGCTCTTCCCTGGGCACTCAGTGAGGAAGGAGCACCCATTCAAACAATAGGAGAACAGTCACTGAGCTCACGAAGTGCCATGAGTCAGACATTGCAGGGCTCTTCTTTCAGGCCAGTAAGTAGTTGCACCTGGAAATACCATTTGACCCAGTAATCCCATTACTGGGTATATGCCCAAAGGATTATAAATCATTCTATTATAGACACATGCACACATATGTTTACTGTGGCACTGTTCACAGTAGCAAAGACTTGGAACCAACCCAAATACCCATCAATGATAGACTGGATAAAGAAAATGTGGCACATATACACCATGGAATACTATGCAGCCGTAAAATAGGATGAATTCATGTCCTTTGTAAGGACATGGATGAAGCTGGAAACCATCATTCTCAGCAAACTGACACAAGAACAGAAAACCAAACACCACATGTTCTCACTTACAAGTGGGTGTTGAACAATGAGAACACATGGACACAGGGAGGGAACATCACACACTGGGGCCAGTTTGGGAGTGGGGGGCTAGAGAAGGGATAGCAGCGGGGTGGGGGTTAGGGGAGGGATAGCATTAGGAGAAATACCTAATGTAGGTGACAGGGTGATGGGTGCAGCAAACCACCATGACATGTGTATACCTATGTAACAAACCTGCACATTCTGCACATGTACCCCAGAACTTAAAGTATAATAATTTTTTAAAAGTGTATTATACAAGTTAGTTCTGTAAAGTCTGTAAGCTGTGTCTGGTACTATCTGTATTGCACACAGGTAGCACGATGATAATATTCATTAACTGCATAAGAAGTGAATTCAGTGTAGCTCACAGCCACATCACCTGGTCTGGCCTCTCTCCCTCTGCCTCTTCTTTATTTTCTATACTCAATGCCCCAATCTGCACATCACCCACACTTTGCTACTGACATCTCACCAGATGTATCTTGCTTCTTTCAAATTCTTACATCTGCCCTTTCTTTCCTGCATCTGAAAATTGTTTCCTTGCTTCATCAACTTGGAAACCTTCTTCATAAGCTTTCAGAATCCGTTCAGATTCTCTCTCTTAACTAATGAGTACTAGACTTAATACCTGGGTGATGAAATCATCTGCACACGAACCCTTGTGACATGAGTTTACCTACGTAACAAACCTATACACGTATCCCTATATAATGTAAAAGTTAAAAATAAATTTAAAAATTAAAATAATTAGTTCAATGCCACCTCCACAGGAAGCATTTCTATGACTCTCAGAAGTAATTACTTCCTCTTCTGTGCTCTGCCAGCCCTGATATTCCCACTAGCATGGTTGTCACCCAATTTTGTGGTCACTTCTGTTTATGGTTGGGTCTTCCCCACCAGGTCAGATTTCCTTGGAGCAGGGAGTATGTCCTCCACACCTCTTCTCCTAGATGCTAAAAACATTCGGTGCATAGCAGTTGTTCAATTATGACGACAGAGGGGAGAATGATTGACTGAATGAATGAAATATACTCAGTGTTTGCTCTTATGTCACTGCTGTTAAAGCATTCATCACAACTATGGAACTATAATGGGATTTAGAATTCTTACTCTTCTAAGGCTTGAAGCATGCTCCCAGGGTCCTCGGAAGACAGAATGTCTATCATTTGGTCGTTAAGGGAAAGGTCCTCACTCACACCGTCAGCTGAGGTGAACGGCAAGGGTTCCAGCTTGCTCTCGTGCTGCCAAACCTTCAGGAGAATTGCAGAAATAATAATTGAGTGGGCCTTCTTGTGAATTCCATGTGCTGGGAAAGCCAGGAGGAAAGGCAAGGGGTCTGCAGTCAGAGCCCCCACCAATCAGCCCCACCACTGTGACCACGGTAAACCCTGACAAGCTTTTGGAAACATCCCTGACCCTCCATTTTCTCCACAAAGAAATGGGATCACAATTCCAGTAGCCCTGCATGCTGATGTTGTGTGGGTAAAGTGGAACAATGGACAGAAAGACCTTTTCAACCTGCAAGACCTATAAAGAGATTTCACTATCATCATTTTTATCATTATTAGGTAGAGGAAGCCTCACAATGGATATGGTGGGCCTTGACATCAGAAATCTGGTTGGTTTCTAATCAGAATAGAGGATTGGGCTCAGCGTGGTGGCTCATGCCTGTAATCCCAGCACTTTGGGAGACTGAGGTGGGCGGATCACTTGAGGTCAGGAGTTCGAGACCAGCCTGGCCAACATGGTGAAACCCCATCTCTACTAAAACTACAAAAATTAGCCAGGCATGGTGGCAGGCACCTGTAATCCCAGCTACTCAGGAGGCTGAGACAGGAGAAGTGCTTGAACCTGGTAGGCAGAGGTTGCAGTGAGCTGTGATTGTGCTAGCACACTCCAGCCTGGGTGACAGAGACTCTGTGAGAAGGAAGGAAGGAAGGAAGGAAGGAAGGAAGGAAGGAAGGAAGGGAGGGAGGGAGGGAGGGAGGGAGGAAGGAGAAAATAGGATTGTGAGCTGGAAGTGACATTAAGATACCTAAGCCCAACCCTCTGTTTGGACAGAAGATATATCTGCTTTGTCCCCAATATCATTAACTCTGCAAAAATGCATGACAGCTATAGCTAACCTTTACCAATTCTTGTCCCTGTGGCAGGGATGATTTTCAGCACTTTCTATGTGTTATCATGAAGCTGTTACAACAAGGAGGTATTGGTGCCCCCACTTTACAAATAGGAAAACTGAGGCTCAGAGAAGGGGAATCACGTTATTGAAGGTCACACAGCTCAAAAGAGCCCAGCTGATTTCTGATCGCAATCCAACTCTGAAGGCTGCCTTCTGTTTTAGAGCATGACCACCACCATGCTGGCAAAAAAAAAAAAAAAAAAAAAAGAAAAACATGAAAAGAGTTCATTCTGTGATGCCAGGAAAAAAGGGTCTTCAGGCCTTAAATCAAATTCATACCCTTGCTTTTTCCTCTGTGCAGTTCTAATGATCTGCCTTAATCTCTGGGAAATGAATCCTGCTCCGACATCAAAGCAGCAGGGTGCGTTTATTTCTTCTGATTGATAACAGCTTTGGGAGAGTCAGTACAAGGTCTGATTAGATGGGCCATTTTTCTTCTCACTTTTGCCTGCCAAGGAGATTGCGGGCTTACCTCATTTTGAAATGACAATTCTGTCCTCCAGGAAGCAGGCACAAAAGGAACAGGCCCCTCACCCAGGCTGGGGTGGAATTTCCAGCCTCCAGAGAGGAGAGAGAGGGAGTCCCCAGAAGCCGGGTCCTAGCCTGTGCCTGGTCATGTTAAGCAAGTTATTTAACCTCACGGACCTCAGTGTTTATGATCTAAAGTGAGGGACAAAGATGATAGATGTTCCTGCCAGGGTGTTGCCCCTCTGGGTGACGATGAGTCACCGTAGGGCCCCTGGCACAGCTGGTTCTTTGCCATGTCCCCTGCCTTGAGCACTGCAGTGCCCACCAGCCCACGACCCACCGGCCAATACCCCCAACTCCTTCCCTGAACAATTCTGCTGGCCTCAGATGCCATGCCAGGAGCATGTCCCCTTCCTTCTTGCCTTTCTGCCTCCCTGTCACCAACCGATAACTTAGCGGACATCTCTCCCAGCCCTTCTGCCCCTGGGTACAGTGATGCTGTGGCTGCTTCTGCTCCATCTCCAGAGCCCCTGGGCAGGACTAAGCCCCAGGCCCCACAGAGGTCCCTGACGAAACACACCCTTTACCAGCCACCTTCCCTTCCTGCCCCGCTTCCCACCCCTCCCCTTATGTCCTGGGATCACTTCCCATGTAAACTGCTTGGATTGGAATTTCAGTCTCAGGGTGTGCTTTTAAGGGAACCCACCCTCAGACAGGAATGCAGAGGTGGAGAAGCTCCCTGTCCAGTCCAACAGATGACAACAGATGCCTCATGGAGCCAAGTGGAGGACCTGAGAGAGGGCTCCTACCCTACGGGAAGTGGCCTGCTACGCCTTGCAGGCAGAGGCATTGGCCAAATTGAGGCTCAAAGGATGGGTAAGAACTGCCCTAACTGAGAAGGAAAGAGTACAGGAAAATGCTCAGGTGTGCGTACGAGGAGCTCAGCGCCCTCAGAGAAGCTGGGTCACTGGGTACAGCAGGAAGCTGGGGTGTGAGGTGGGACCTGGCAAGAGAAGCAGCTGGAAGCCAGTCTCGGGGGGGCTTCAAAATCCAGGCTCAAGGGTCTAGGCTTCACTCTGAGGATAACCGGGAGTCTCCCAAAGCTTTTCCATAGGGAATGCAGAACGAGACCTGCATGTGGTGCCGCAAGAATACAAAGCAGCCAACGTGAGTGGGGTTATGGGCTGCAAGTAGGGCGACAGGATGCGTGGGGGCGACGGGACGCGTGGGGGCGACGGGACACATGGGGGCAACGGGATGCGTGGGGGCGACGGGCTGGGTGGGGGCGACAGACTGCGTGGGGGCGACGGGCTGGGTGGGGGCGACAGGATGCGTGGGGGCAACGGGACACATGGGGGCGACGGGACGCGTGGGGGCGACGGGCTGGGTGGGGGCGACAGGATGTGTGGGGGCGACGGGACACATGGGGGTGACGGGACGCGTGGGGGCGACGGGCTGCGTGGGGGCGACAGGATGCATGGGGGCTACGGGCTGGGTGTGGGTGACAGGCTGTGTACTAGGTAATAGCTGCACGAGTTCTCCCACCTGGCTGGTGGTTAGAATCACTGGGGGAAGTTTTGGTCAGGTGCAGTGGCTCACACCTGTAATTCCAGCACTTTGGGAGGCCAAGGTGGGCAGATCACAAGGTCAAGAGATCAAGACCATCCTGGCCAACATGGTGAAACCCGGTCCCTACTAAAAATACAAAAATTAGCTGGGTGTGGTGGTGCACACCTGTAATCCCAGCTACTAGGGAGGCTGAGGCAGGAGAATAGCTTGAACCCAGAAGGCAGAGATTGTAGTGAGCTGAAATCACACAATCTCTGTGTGAAAACACTCTCTGTCTCAGAAAACACAGGAGGAAGTTTTAAAAATGACTAGGCCGGGAATGTTGGTGCGTAGCTGTAGTCCCAACTGTTTGGAAGGCTGAGGCAGGAGGATTGCCAAAGCTCAGGAGTTCCAAGTTGTAGCATTTTTGATTGTGCCTATGAACAGCCACTGGACTCAGCCTGGGCAGAACAGCGAGACCCTGGCTCTTAAGGAAAAAAAAAAGAATGATGGGTATGCATCCCAGGACAAACGCATCAGTTTTGGAGGCAGGCCCTGGACATGGGTTTTTGTGCACAGTCCCCTCAGTGATGCTGATGGAGATCTAGGGCTGAGACCCACAGAACTGGAGGATGAACTTCAACCTTACATCCCCCACCTTCCAAACCACCCTCAGGGAAGACTCACCCGACGTCTGGTGAGCACGGTTCCCTGCGGACACTGATAGCGAACCACGAGGAAGAGGGCAGCCCAGGTTAGCACAAGGGAGAGGAGGAAGGCGAAGAAGAACCCCGCTGCGTGGAGGCCATGGTTTGGCAGAACCTGTGAGGACAGGAGAGCGGGATTCATGTGTGGTCAGACTGCGTGTCTCCCAGGCCACACAGGTGATTGAGTGTCAGAGAGACCAAGCAGGGAGCCAGTACACTCACATGCATTTGAGTCCCGCACTGCCAGCTATTGGCTTGCTGCCTGGAGGCCCTCAATGGTCCCCTGTGAGCCTGAGTTTTCTCAGTGCATGACAAGCCTGTCAAAGAGCTGACGCATGGTGACTTGCACACAGTAGGGCCATCCAACCCCAAGCCTAGCACATCACAGACACTCAAGAATGTTAAGCTCCCAAATCAAATATGTGACAATCCGAAGGAAGCACTAGCAATCCGTGACATTTTCTGAGAATCAGGGGCAGAATTCTGCAGAGGCCAGAGAAAGAACCTATGGCACCCTCACTTTCCTGCTATACTCTGTAACTTTAAATTAAATAATTAGACCCCAATATTAATGGCATTACGTTTAGAGAAAATCTCGTCTTCTGACTAGTGAGATTAGTGCCCCACACTTGCCCCCCACCCTTCCTTCCCCATTTCTACCTTCCAGAATTTATTAGGTTTATAACATATATATTTTGTTCTGCAACCAGAATTCAGTCCTGATGATTGTTTGCAGGTTAATTCCAGCAACTACAAAATTTAAAAGACAATATTATTACTATGATTAGGCAAATGCTGCTCACTGCAGAGTAAAGTAATTGGATCCAATCCTGTGTCACTAAATATTGGCCCCTCAAAGGAGTATGTTTCTAATTCACCCTGCTTTCTCACACTTTATTAATTATTCCAAATCAGGCCACATCTGCAGTTTGCTTCAATATGAATTAGCATTTCCTTGTGTGACTTTTTGTTGTTCCTGAAGTTTTTCACGGCCTTTCTTTTTTCTTTTTTTCTTCCTAGTATACACCCATTTTCTTTTTTTTTTTTTTTCTTTTTTTTTTTTTGAGACGGAGTCTCGCTCTTGTTACCCAGGCTGGAGTGCGATGGCGCGATCTCGGCTCACCGCAACCTCCGCCTCCTGGGTTCAGGCAATTCTCCTGCCTCAGCCTCCTGAGTAGCTGGGATTACAGGCACGTGCCACCATGCCCAGCTAATTTTTTGTATTTTTAGTAGAGACGGGGTTTCACCATGTTGACCAGGATGGTCTCGATCTCTTGAACTCGTGATCCACCCGCCTTGGCCTCCCAAAGTGCTGGGATTACACCCATTTTCTTAATAATACTATCTGTTACAGAGAGTCAAATTTACTTTTTCTTAAAGTCATCACTCCCGGAGTTCTCCGACTTTCTGATTTAATCAGACCTGGCTACTTTCTAGGTTTTCTGGTATCATAGCGAGCTTTTTCTTTCTCTTCACTGCCTTCTATATTGTCACAGCATTACCGATTGAAGAAAAACTGTATTCCTTGGATCCCAGTTCTTCCTTTTTCTTGGAAAGTTCTTTTTTATTTTGATGAAGTATCCTAAGTATCTACTTATTCTCAAGTAAGTTTGTTTAGAGAAGATGTTCTTTTCTCACATGTGGCAATGCTGTCACCCCTCAATTTGATTGATAGCACGGCTGGGTATATAACTCGAGGTTCAAAATCACTTTCCCTCAGAATGTTGATGGTGCCACTCCACTGTCTTCTGACAGAAGTGTACCTGATAACCTTTTAGAAGGATCTGTTTTTGCTTTCTGGGTGCTTTTAAGATTTCCCCCCTTTCCCTATAGTTCTGAATATCTTACCAGTTAAAAGAAGATTTTTGAATACGTTTCTACTAATATATAAAAACGCTTATATACTAATGTGCCTTTGCAAAACAATACACAGTATATTCTCCATTTCACTAAAATAAAAATAATATGGATATATATACATATACATGCGTAAATTATAAGGAAAATCCTGTAGAATTTTATTTGAACATAATTTCTTCAGGAGGTTTTTCACCTTCTTTATGCTTGTCTTCTAATATTTCCACGATGGGCATGTATTACTTGTGTAATAGGATACAATAATAATAATTATTACAATTATTATGATGATTATAAAAAAATGTAAGGCAAGTTTGACAGATGAAAATCACCCAGACTGCTGAGCCTTTTCAATCCAAATCACAACTCAACTTCTTCCTCTTTTCAATTCTGCTCCTTTCTTCTTCCTTTCATAGAGGGTTTTGATTGTACCAAGGGTCCCCAAGGCCACCTGCACACAATTACACTCATAAGTATGATTTATTACAGCAAAAAGACACAAAGCAAAGTCAGAAATGGGAAGAATGGAGTGAAGTCCAAGGAAAACCAGGCATATGCTTCCAGACTCCAGTGGAGTCACAAGACATGCTGAATTCCCCCAGCGAGGGGCTGTCACAACTCATGTGAAATATTGTCTGCCAGGGAAGCTCATCAGGGACTCAGTGTCCAGGGTTTTCATTTGAGGCTGAGTGTGTAGGCACCCTGTGCCTGGCATGTACCAAAATTCTATACGCCAAGAAAAACAGCAGATAATCGGTATAAACTAGACTATCTGTGAAAAACACTTCAGGTACAGGGAGCCACTCATCAGTTTTAAGAAGATGAGAATCCTGAAATTCAAGTTCACAGACACCAGCCCAGGATCAATAATGTAAGCAAGCCTTTCTAAGGACAGCAGCCTCCAGTTGGGTATGCTAACTCTTCTCTGTACAATGGTAAGCATTTTATACCCCAAACTCTGCATCAGCATCTTTCTTCAGAAAAGCAAACCTGTGACAATTAGTTTAATTCAAAATGGCTCCAGACCGTGGGACACTGAATGTATTGCTTGGGGGCTAAAAGACAAATAGCCTATTCCTCATTTTTGCAACCACAATATAGACTGTAGTCAAGGGTACGTTTTTTTTTTTCTGACTGACCAATGAGGCCACCCTGACCTTCTAGACTGTCAAAGCTAAGTTAGGTCAGAAACAGGAGCTTCAGTTCAAATGTTTATTGAAACCTCAATCAAAGTGTGATGCCACTTATAACTCACCTTTGATAAATCTGACTCTGTCCACAAAGGCTCTTATAAGAGACTAACAGAGAACCAATTCTGTTTTCCTGCTCTAACATCCCCTGATCCTAAACCTTGAATTTTCATTACCACCAAGATGAAATCTAAGTACTCCATTTCCATTGTTCTGGAAATGTCCCTCTGTTCCCTGAGCCCTGACTGTGTAGCCACTAGACAAGAAAAAAAATCAATAAACTGGATAAACATGAATAGCACTGCATGGAGGTGATGTCAAAATATTGATAGAAAGGAAACTGAAAAATCCATCTGTAAAAGAACACAGTAGCTAAAGATTGGCAATCTGTTTTCAAAATTGTTAATCCCCTTTTCCTTCAAAGAGCAACAACTTGTTTTTTCATCTTTGAGAAGAAGGAATGGGATTTAAAGGGGATTAACAATTGTGATTACCTGCAATACACCAATCTCTGGGATAGACAAATGTAGTGAGATGAGTTGAGTTGTGCCCTCTAAAAAGATATGTTGAAGTCCTAACCCCAATACCTACGAATGTGACCTTATTTAGAAATTGAGTCTTTGTCAATGCAGTCAAGTTAAGATGAGGTCATATTAGGTCACAGTGAGTCCTAAATCCAATGACTGTCCTCAGGAGAGGAAGATTTGTAGACACACACAAGAGAAGAGGGCCATGTCAAGATGGAGCAGATACTGAGTGACACAGCCATAAGCCAAGGAATGCCAAGGATCTCTGGAGCCACCAGAAGCTAAGAAGAGGCAAAGAAAGATGCTTGTCCAGAGTCTTTAGAAGGAGTGTGGTCTTGCCTGACAACACCTTAATTTCAGACTTCCAGCCTGCAGGACTGTGAGAAAGTACATTGCTGTTGTTTTAAGGTACCAAGCTTTTGGAGATTTGTTATGGCAGCCTGAGGATACTAACACGGTGCTTCATATACTTTATTTCATTCAATCTTCTGTAATTCCATGGGACACGTATTATCCCTGTTCTACTGATAGACAAATGGAGACGCAAAGAGATTGAATAATTACTTGAAGCCCACAGCTAAAACAGAATTAGTTCTGCGGGACTCCAATATGTATGTTTTCCCCACTGGAGCTGGATACTACTTACTGTCCAGGGGGCTGCACACTTTTCTAAAACGTTTTTAGTCCTAATCTCCCCCACCATGGTAGAAGTTAGCTATATGGCTGAGATTATGTATGGGCAGCATCACTCTACTGTAAAAGGCAGCAACAGAACTCTCTCATGTGTTCCTTCTCTCCTTTTCCTCCCTTCCTTCCTCCTACTTCAAGAAACAGAAGTGGATAACTGAGTCAGGCTACCCTAAATCTCTTCCTCTTTCCACTCCCATCTTCTAAATCTACATCTTAAGATCTTACTTTCCTTTGGCCACATGTGCGTGGCTAAAAGAAACTGAAGAGTAGAGGTACTTCGGACAGTTCAGTGGAGAAGGGTCTTGATCAATGCTTAGTAGCAACGTAACTGTGGGAATGGATGCCTGGATCTAGGAAGAGGTAAAAACCAGGGCCGGTTCTGCAGATACCAACACCTTTCACCCTCTTCTCTTACAATTCTTGTTTTCTGGCACCAAGTAACGAGCAAACTTAGGTAGAGCCTACCTTCATGGAGCAGACCCACTCATGACCCTCACTTTCTTCATTTGTCTGTGTTGTTAAATTATGCTAGGTCCTGCCCTGCCTACAATGCCTCTACTCCTCAATCTTATTCTTCCATGAAGAATGACCAAAGAAGAGTAAGATCTCAATATGTAATTTTATGGTAAGAAGGAGGCTCCACATAATCACTACCATCGCTATCATCATCAACAACATTAACTCTACCACCATCATTATCAACATCAATATCCCTATTACCACCATCTTCACCATCACCATCATGATCACACCTTCATTGACACCATCATGATCACCATCATCAGCAGCATCACCATCACCACCATGACCATCACCATCATCACCATCACCACCATCATTATCAACACCTT